ATTCCATAGTCAAGCGTTCCGGCCACGTACCGCAGTACTCTCTTCAGACTTCCAACATGTTTCGCAGACGGTTTGCCCACAAACCGACTCAGTTGGCCCACCGCGAACGCCAAATCGGGTCTGGTGCTCGTTGCCAAGTACATCAGCATTCCAATAGACTCTCGATAGGGAAAACTCGTATCTCCTGTTTCCTCATCGCTCATTGGTGCCAACCGCAAGTTCACTTCCATTGGATTTCCAACCGCATGGGCATTCTGGTACCCGAACTTGCTCAGAATCTCTCGTGCATATTTCCCTTGGTGAATTGTGATTCTCTCAGTCGTTTGCTCCACTTTCACACCCAGGTACTCATTCAACAGACCTTGATCCTTAATCCCGTACTCCTTGTCCAGCTGCGCGAACAAGTCCTTCTTGCTCTGCTCGTCATTCGTTGCAACCAGTATGTCATCAACATACACTAGCACATACATGATCGTATCTCCGTCAAAATGATAGTACAGACACGGTTCCGTCAACGACCTCATGTATCCGTGCTTCATCAACCAGTTGTTCAGCTCTGAGTTCCACTCGCGACCTGACTGATGCAAACCATATAGCGCCTTCAACACGATATAAACATATCCGTTGATCTTGCATGGGTATCCTTCAATGGATCTCAAGTACTGCTGGATCTCCAACCGGGCATTCAAGTATGCGGTGTTAATATCTCCGCCATACACCATTAATCCCAGCTGCGCTGCTAATGCCAACAGCAATCTGAACGATGACATCCTCGCCACCGGTGCAAACGTCTCCTTAAAGTCAATTCCGGGTCTTTGATAGTTACCCAGCGCCACTATGCGCGACTTGAAACGAATCACATATCCTTGATGGTCGGTCTTGATGTCATATACCCACATCGTGTTCACGGGTGATGCTTCCTCCGGCATTTCATCCGCAGGAATCTCGGCAATCACTCCTTTCTTCTTCAAAGCTGCAAGCTCTTCCATTTCGGCCATCATGAAGAAGTCACACCACTTCGACCGTATCATCTCACGACGATTACGTGGAACTTTGATCTCACTTGCACGAATGGGTCTTCCATTCTTATCCAGTACACGTGAGGAATTCATCGTCACGTTCACCATGTAGTCATCGAGATACGCCGGACGTCGACGCTCGTGAACTTCTCGTAGTCCAGTCCGTGTCTTCTTCACGTTTGTCTTATCCGCATCCAGCTCTGCACGAGCCTCCTCTGAAGGAGTCTCATCTCGATGCATACGCTTGCCAGTCACTGTTACCTCAGGACTTATCCCCACCACATCTCTGTCTGACTCAGCTTCAGGTAGTGTGTCCTCACCAGTGTCACTCTCTAGCTCCGCATCACTGCTACTCTGGTCCTCAGCAAAGACACTCGCTACTGTGGTCTCTTCATTACCATCTTGCTCTTCGGATTCATCCAGCTTATGGTCAACTACTTCCGATCCACAGGTTCCAGCCACCGATATAGCATCCGCATCTGCTATGTCAACACCCTCAGCCGCTTCATGGACATTCTCGCCCTCAGCTGCTTGACCAGTGTCGACACTAACACCTTTACTAACCTCACTCGGTTGACTGCCTTCATGTTGTACACTTTCAGTAACTACATCACCATGTTCATCGCTCTCAACGGCGTCACTGCCTACTTGAACAGTCTCGATACCGTCCTCAGTAACCTTGAGTTGAACATCACCATTCAAATGAATATCTCCATCCGCTTCGCTATCGGCATGGTGGACAGGTTGATCATACACTTGGTGCATTTCTCGTCCAACCTGCGTATGTACGTCAGTACGCTCGCCTTCCTGTGTCTGCACAGCATCCACACAAGCATCCACACTCTCGCCTTCCTCGAGCTCAAAAGATGGTACATTACTCAGCTCACTCAAAACAGTCTGGTCCTCATCTTGAAGAGTAAAGTGAAGTGAAGAGAGATCGTCGTCTTCCACTTCCGTTGTGTATCGGTCCCGATACATAACATCTTCTGCAACACGCAGATCTGACACAAACTTTGCTGTGTGCTCATCAGGGAAGTACACTTTGCAGCCAACTACATTCTCAGCACACCCCAATACAAACCCAATCTTCGCATGAACACTCAGTTTCTTGCGTCCAGGAGTCACTGGTACGTGCACGTACGCCAGTGCTCCAAACTTCCGGATGTGGTGTACATTCGGCTTGACTCTGAACAGCATCTCGTACGGAATGCCATTAGTCCCCTTGTTGTACACACGATTCTTGACATACACTGCATTTCTCAGTGCCTTAGGCCACAGGCTCTTCGGTAGCCCCGAGTGTGCCATCGTAGACCTAGTCATGTCCTCCAACGATTGGTGCGTTCGTTCACACAAATTGAGCTGCGAGCTCTTCGGCCCGACTTTCACATGCTCAATTCCTCTTGAACGATACCATGCATCAATTTCTTCATTGAAGAATTCACCGCCCTTGTCACTCCAAATCTGCTGCACTCTGTATGTTTTCCCGTTGGCATTTCGGCCTGCCTGCCGTTCCGCCCACAACACATACTCTTGCATGTACTTGTTCACCACCTTGCTGTCCTTGTTCCTCAGCAGGTGCGCAGTGACAAACCGCGAATAACCATCCATGATCACCAACACTGCCTCATATTGAGTCGCATTATTCTTCCCTGGGATCAGAAGATCCGCATACACTATTTGGTTGGGTCTCTTCAGTCCACGGTCCAGCATCTTCCTGTGTGATTTCATCTTTTGCTTTCCAAGATGACAGGCATCACACGTATCTTGCTGTCTCTATGTCACCATCATTCCCTCCACCAGCTCCTTGTCGACCATAGTCTTCAAATACTGTGGACAGATATGACACAGTCTCTCATGCCAAAGCTGCAGCGAACCAACACCTTCTGCCATAGTGTGATTACATCTTGCTGCTGCTTCTGGTAGCACTCGAGTTCTCTGGGTCGGACTCGCTACTTGGAACCCCCAAGTGGCCTCCTGCTGCGTTGCTACAGCCACAGTCCTTCCATTTCTCATGACGTGAAAATTTCTCGATTCTCTGTCATATTCCAGAGTATAACCCTGCTCATAGGCTAATCCAGGAGAAAACAAACCATACTCGGCATCCGGAATGTACAACACTCCGTCGAGATAGCTCACTACTTGTTCTCCATTAACCTCTGTCGTAAACGCCACTGTTCCCATTCCAGCAACACGGGAAGCAATCGTAGGCGTAACTCCTCGGATCTGCTGTAACTGCTCCGAGTCTGCCGTGTACGACACGAACTCAGCAAAATTCCCCGTGACGTGCGAGTTGGAGGCCGTATCCAGATACCACCACCCGCCATTGAGACCTTGTGTTACTTGATCATTGTCCTCCAGATGTGATTCACCACTATCTGACTCATGATCGTTCACCGGGTTTCCATCACTCGCTGCGTCATCGTCGCTCACGATTCCAATGCCACGTACATCATCAGTGTGTACGTCATCCACTCCATGTGCTTCATCGAGCTCCCGAGGAATCCCGTATATTTCACGAGAAATTGTGACTCCTGCCACAACACCCTCATCCCACTCGCGGTTCATCTGCACTGGTCCAGTGGTTTCTTGTCGTAGGGTACAACAACTGCGCGGCTTACGCTTCTTCTCTGCGTCGTCAGCTTTCTCTTTCCCCTTCGACTTCTCAGGACAATCGACACGTAGGTGATCTTCACTGCCACAAGTAAAGCATCTTCTAACTCTCTTGGGGTCACCAGTCTTGTCCTCGTGAAAGCCTTTTCTGCTCTCACTGCCTTTGCCATGTCTTCCTCGTGGGCTACCCTTCTTCTCAGTGCGCTTAGCTCGAAACTCTTTCTGCCGAGCCTTCGCCGCAAGAATCAGCTCTCGAACCTTCTTAGGTGTGTAGACACTCGGGTCTGCGCCGTAGTATATCGAAGACTTCAGATGCTCAAACTCCAGTTGATCAGGCAAACTCTCCAGTAGCATATCCACCATCGTGGTATCTGCAACCGTATGGTTCAAGTCGGCCAACACAGTCTTGAGATTGAACATTTTGCAAAGATGGAGGTTGGCGTCTCCTCCAGGTGCGAGCTTCATACTCCAAAGCTCATTCTCCACGCGACGGATCGTGTACGCCTTGATGGCTTCGTTCTGCTTTCCTTCGTAAAGGCTGCAGAGCTCACTCCACATCTCCGATCCGGTCTCCTTGTCACGTAGTTGATGCAGCACGTCTGCCGGTACCGATGTACCAATCAAGCGCATGATCTTCAACTGCTTCTTCTTGAACTCCTCTTGCTTCTCTGCACTTGCAGTAGCAAGCATCGCTAAGGTCAAATCTCCGACTACGATGTCCTTGAGGTCTTGTTCCTTGAAGACGTTCATCAGCGCCCACTTGTACGTCTGCCAATCCTTACCATCCCAGTTCTTAGGGACTCCTTCACTCGAGTACTTCAGGGGCTTCGTCATTTGGGCTCAGAACCCTATTGGAACTCCGTTCCGTTTGGCAGCACTCTGGACTTGTGAAGGTAAAATGAAGACTGAATTATTTAAGTGCTAGCTCACGCTCCTCCAGAGCTCCTACCAACACTAACGGATTCAACCCGTTATCATACAATGACCTGGCCCAACTGATTCTCATCCCGAATGTCCTGGCCCACCTGATTCTCATCCAGTGTGTCCATGTCTCGTTGTGCCTGGTCTCCCATGTGAATTCCAACAGACTTCACTCTCAGCCAAACTTTGTCAGCAGCGGAAGCATGCAGCAGTGCAGGAACCGTCCAAACTCCTATCGTGAACGGACTGGAGACGCCATCAAACGGAGCTCCAGATCACGGCCACGTCTCCGCCACTGTTGTGACAGCAAATACTGTTGGCAATTCAAGACAAACGCCACGTAAAGTTCTAACGATACTAGGGCAATCAAACGGTAATGGAAGTGACGCACGAACGGTCTCCGATGGCATCAAAGCGAAACGCCGTGCAGCTGATAACGCCAGGAAGCGGATGCTGAGGAAGGCTGGGGTCGATGGAGACCCTAACCGTGCACGCAACGAACGCAAGCTGGAAATTGCGTACCTAAAAGAAAAGGTGGGGCAGCTAGAGAAGGAGTTGCAGACACTACAGGACCGACCACCGCACACGAATTCAGAGAGCCAAGAGTCTGAGACCGGCACTACTTGTACTGAGGTGCAAGTTTCTAGTATTTGGGAGGGGTTTGCAGCTCGTCAGCGAAGTCGAAGAGAGAAGGCTGAACGCGAAAATGTTCGCCTAAAACTCGTTTTGGAAGGTCAGATTAAAGTGGCCAAGAGTTTGCAGAACTTACTATTGAAGCGGGCCCAGCAACAGGTATGTGGAGCTCGGGTACCTGTGTTGCCACTGATGATCTTGAGTTCTTACTCGCTGTCTGCTTGTTCTAGATTGCTGCGTGCGCTCCATCATTTCAAAAGCCAGGTGATATTTGTCCGCCTGGCCGAACACTAGATTATCGTGCAGATGCAGCAGACTTTCACGAACTTCTGGAGTACCTGGACGCAGCATATCGTGAGGTGGATGCAGTGCTCGCAGCAAATGGCTTGGCTGCGATGGAGATAACACAGCAAGATCTACATACGCGCGAAGGTGTGAATGGTATGTATCTGGAGGTGTTTTCGAACAAGGTCATGCCCTTCGGGCTTCATGCAACTGCTGAAGCGACTTGGAACTACTTCAAGGGCTCTGAGAAGCACCGAGGGAATTTATATGCCAAAGCAACGCAGGTAAGGCAAACCTTGTGGCTTGTTTGGTACAAGTACATCTGACAATTGGTGTTGCACCCACTTGCAGAATCTTGATACTCCGTATACCATCATCGAGCATTTTTCCAAGGAGCTATTCGCAGGAAATTCGAGCACGGACGTCCGCGTCAAACAGATTACGGCGATACGTCGAAGCTGACCGCGAAGTTGTGGTATGGGTTGCGACAATCGCCCCTATTGAGATCAAGCGCAAGGCCTTCGCTGTACTGAGTTCTCACCACCGTAATTACGCTGTCATCAAGCGTGCCAACGCTTCTACACCCAAGCACGAGCTGTCACTTTTGCAGCTTGTCGCACACGTGACGCTAGATACTGAGGAGGGGACCATCTACGACCCGATGTACATCAGAGCGCTTACCGATTTTCTGCTGAGCAACGCGGCCGGAAATATCAAGGCTGACCAGGAGCTCATCGAAAATGTTCTTATGGACCAAACGCTGGATCAGCACTGACGCAGCATCACAATGAGGGGGCAGGTGTTGCTCGTGCTACGTATACCAACTACAGACGACGAAGCTGACAACCTTTCGATCAGCGAGTTCTGCAAGTCCAAAATGCTGGATATCGCGTAAGCATGCACCCAAAATAGAGGTATTGTTGGTACTGTACAAAGGTTCGATATCCTGTATTTTGTCACGCGTTTATTTATCTCAAAAGAGGAAAGACTGTTTGCTAGCGCCCTTAATGAGCAGAAGACGGCACGAGCTGGGCAGCAAAAATGCCACCTTTGTGTTCCTGTGTATTTCTTAAAGTGAGCTTTTGTCAACTGTTTGTTCTCTCCTTTTCTCTTTGTCACTTTTCACCGTAAAGTACTGATTCTCATTCAGTACTCAGCCTCATTTATAATTTCACCTCTTTACAGTAATTATACATTAATCTACTGTCTGTCATCTGCGCGTTATTGATTGCAAAGGCAAGAAAACGAGACGTCGCGACGTGCACGACGTTTTTCCAAGCGCCTTCGAGGACGGCACTCTCGTTCGTTGATGAATACTCTTTTCAAGATACTGTACCGAGCATCACAGTTCCTTAAAATGTACTTTACCGTATATGATTTCCTCATCTAATGAGAATAGATGCCTGCATGGTACATCGGAAATCTGTAAATAAATAGCTTGTGCTGCGACTGTGGCAAATAAATATCTGCATCAAAACGTGATCGTGTTTCTATATTAATGGCTTCGGGGAGAACTTGCTTTTCGAGCGTTAGGAATACATTAGAGAAGCGTCAGACATGGCTGCGAGAGCTGGTAGTTTGAGCTGTGTGCGAATTGCAAAGTGATTTTGTGTCGGTGGCACCGGATTGCAGACAGCTCAGAAAACCTGGTGGAGGACAATAAATTTCGTACACAAAATCCATTTATATATATATAAATAAATTTTCAATTTGTGGCCTTCCCATAAAGTTAGTTAGAGAGAGAGAGCTTCAAAAATATATTTCCTGTAAATATATTTTTGCGGATCCCTGCCGACATCCAACGCGCCGTTTCCTTCTCTCTCCCAAGTCATCGACCAACAGCAGATCGAAATTGACGACATAGTGCAGCCCTGAGTTTGCACCAATGCCAAGAAGCGGATGCTGCGCGAGGTTGGTCTGTACGACGATCCGAATTGGGCCAGAAAGGAGCGTAAGCTCGAGATCTTACAGGCGGGCACTCAGCAACTTCGTATGGGCCAACACGGCAGGCAACATCAGCAAGTCTCAACAAACGTACACAAACTGCATGCTACACTGTAGACCAACCGAGGCTTATCACGACGCGATGCCCAGCTCACAAATTCAAACTTCAATTGACTTCGTGTGTGTCGACGATAACTTGTGGCAAGTGAGTCAGCAAATCGCATTTTTGACAATCTCCAATAGTTGATTCTTGTGATTGACAATACCGGTATTGATATTGAGAATGGCAATTTACGACCGAGTGCTTGAGGCGGCGTTGTCTTTCATCGACGAGTTCCAGTTCGGCGTGCAGGAGGATGGAGAAGATGCGGCGAGGTCGATACTGTCTGCACGCGGGCGCGAACCGTCACTTGCGTTAGAGGACGAAGCGACCAAGCGGAAGAGGGCCAATGAACGAAAAAGGCTGCTTCGCAAGACAGGGGTCTATGGAGACCCCAATCGCGCTAGAAGCGCCCGAAGACTGGAAATCGCCTACCTCAAAGAGCAGCTAGAGAAGCTGCAGCTGAACTTGCACACTCTGCAGTACCGGAATGGCACACAGCAGCTGACAACAAGTGCGTTGGTCACAGCAGCACATATTCCAACTATGTGGCAAGCTGTCGCTGAGAGTCAGAGAAGACGCCGAGAAGGTTCCGAAATAGAGAACGTGCGTCTAAAGCTCGTTGTTGATCGGCAGAAGAAGGTAGCCGATAATCTCCGGGGTTTGTTGCAGAAGCGAGCGAGTCAATTGGTACGATGCCGAGCATACATGCTGGTGCTTGGGAACAATAATATGAACTGGTTTAACATTACTCCTTTGTTGCTGATGTTCAGGCGAGCGAATGTACTTCTTTCATGGACGTTAGTGCTCCGAAACCTCAAATTGTCCGCGTGCTGGACTTCCGTGGTGATACCGCCGACTTTGAAGCTCTCTTCCGACTGAACGAAGCTGCGTATCGAGAAATGGACGCGATATTCGCAGATAATGGTCTGGCGAACATGGTCATATCTCCTAGTGACGTCCATATTCGTGAAGGTGTTGGTGGTAAGTATCTTGAACTATTCGCCAACAAGCTATTGCCTTTTAGCTTGAGCGATGTGAGGGAAGCAGCGTGGGACCATTTTAAAGGCATAAAAAAACACGCAAGTAACGGCAGCATTTATGAAAAAGCGGCAAGGGTAAGTCGGTGCAGGAATCGAGTCCAGCTGCGCCATTTTGCGCTAACTCTGGACTGTTTGATCTGTGTTTATATAGAACCTTGATGAGCCCTACACCATAATCGAGGAGTTCACGAAGGAGTTGTATTCCAATAGTTCTCGCGCTGATATCAAGGTGAAGCAAGTGGTGCGGCGCTACGTTGAGACCGACCGGGACGTCGTGATCTGGATTTCGCACGTATCCCCGACAGAGATTAAGCACAAAATGCTGCGTGGATTGACCTACCATCTCCGAGGTTACGCACTCACCAAGCGCTCCCCAGCTTCGACTCTACATGTAGACCGCGAGCTCTCGCAATTGCAGTTCTGTTCGCTGATCTCTTTGGACCACGAACCCGGCACGTGGTACGACCCTGCCAATGCGCGGATGCTCATTATTTTTTCTGATCGGAAACACCATACAGAATATTAGGAATCACCAGGACCGCCTCGAGAGCGTATCGGTAGACCGAGCGCTGAGAGAACACATGCCAGTAGTAACTGTTTGTGATACAAAAGACTCCAGACGTATCTCTGTTCGAGTGTGTGATCTGATTAGTACCAAAACGGCAAATTTGGTCAGAATTCACAATACCTTCGCGCGACAAAAGAACCATTTGAACCAATAAAAAACTTAAAAAATATTTGGTTTAATTTAATTGCCGAGATTTTGAAAAAATAGTCCACCAAAGTCCGACCAATTTAAATAACATATAGTAAAGTTAGCTGTAATTTTTATGCAACACGTATTGCACCTCGCATCGCACGATTACTGACAAATGGTGTTCCTTTTGGAGGAAGCGGACGACGAGGCCGTGCTCGATGCGGCACTGTCGTTCGTGGACGAGTTTGCACATGGAGGGCAACCCCTTTCACCACAGCGTCTGCCAAAACACAGCACGTTTGAAGACAAAGCATCCAGACAGGCGGCGAAAAACGAGAGAAGAAGGCTACTGCGTCATGCTGGTGTCTATGGGGACCCGAATCGGGCTCGAAACGAACGCAGACGAGAAGTTGCCGGTCTTCGCAAGCAACTTGATAAACTCCGACTGGATCTTTAGATTATACAAATCCGACGGGGTGTAACAGGACAACCAAATCAAGCGTCGACGATCTCTGTATCGCAGTTACCGAGTTTGTGGCAGCAGGTGGCTACTCAACAGCGACGGCGGCGTAGTGAAGCCGAGGGCGAGAATGCACGCTTGAAGCTTGCTGTACAGCGCCAACAAAAGATGGCAGACGACCTGAAGAGCTTGGTGCAGAGGAAAGCGCGACAACTGGTATGTGTCCAGGACCCATTCCAACAATTTGATCTAATGTGGCCATTTTGCTCTTGTCTTTTGGTACTTACAGACGAGCGAGTGCATGTCATTGATAGCCGTAAACAACACACAACGTCACAGTATAATTAATATGCTGGACGTCGGAGGAGATCTCGGAGACTTCCAGCAACTCTTCCGACACCTTGAAGCTACTCGACAGGAAGTTGATGTGGTGCACGCTGCCAATGGCCTGGCAGATATGGTAGCTACCCCCAGTGACATCCATATCCGGGAAGGCGACGACTGCAAGTACCTCGAAGCATTCTCGAACAAACTCTTGGCTTTCAAGGTGCACGCAGTGGCCGAGGCGCTGTGGAGCCACTTTAAGAGCCTAGAGAAGCACGCAGGCAACGGCAGCCTCTATCAAAAAGCTGAAAAGGTACGGACTATTAGCACGACATTTGCTGCTGCTCTTGATCTAACTATCGGCGCTGGCTTACCAGCATATCGATGAGTCCAATACGATCCTGGAAGACTTCACAATGGAGATGCATTCCAACACATCTCGAGCAGATATTAAAGTTAAGCAGATTATCCGACGCTACGTGGAAGCCGACTGCGACATTGTCATCTGGGTCTCCCGTGTATCGCCTGTTGAGATCAAGCATCGCATGCTGCGAGGCCTGACGTATCACCTCCGTGGCCACGCGATCGCAAAGCGATCACCCGCCTCCACACCGAGAAACGAGTTATCTCAGCTGCAGTTCTGCTCGCTAATCTCTTTCGACCGAGAAGCTCACGCGGTGTACGACCACAGCAGCGTTCATGCTGCGTTGAACTTCCTCCTCATCAACACAGCACAGAAAATGAAAGTTTACCAGGATCGCATTGAGAATATCCTCGTTGAGCAAGTACTACACCGCGGACAACTCTAAGGATGGATGGCTTACCCCATCGGATGAGCGCTGCTATGCCTTCAGCATTTTTTATACCAGTCAACTACCGCAGAGTATTGATGACTCGAGACCCGAATTCAGACGAAATGACTCGACGGGCGGTGATCAACGCCGCATTAGGTAATGTAGGATTCAGCGACCCGAATCAAGCTCGCAACGATCGTAGGAAAGAGATCGCGTACATTCGCCAGCAGGTTAAGAGACTACATGCTGACTTGCAGGGCTTAGAAGGCCGACGCAGATAGTGATAAATGCAGCTTCGCCGCCAGCAAATGTGTGGCAAATTATAGCAGAGAAGAAGGGAAAGCGACAAGAGGGAGCGGGGCGCGAGAATTTTATGTCTGAGATGGGCGACTGTACTTCATTTATGGATGCGAGACAACAGATCGTCCACGTGGTTGATTTCCATGAAGACATGAGGGATTTCCCAGCTCTCGTTCAGCATTGTGATGCTGCTCGTGGAGAAATTGATATCGTATTCGCAGCGAATGGGCTTTTCAAAAGTGGTTATCACCCCAATTTTCACATACAAGAGGATAATATCCGTATTATGACATGATACAAGAGGATAAGATCCATATTATGACAAGTACAGTATCTCGAGGCATTCTATGATAAGGTGTTACCTATCAAGCTGAGCGATACAACGAAAGCGGATCTCAAATCCGTCTTACAGCATTTTTTGCGTTGAGTCTATACGTACTGCGCTCAGAAAAAAGTACAAAACCCTCTTTTGAAGTTTTCAAAAGTACCCCTTAAAAATGAAGAAATTCTTCCAGGGGAGACCTATGTTGAAGAAGGAGATCTGGTTTGCGCCGACAGCTGTGACCTGTAGGAGTGATAGTCAGTTAAGTTAGTGGCTGGTAATTGCGGATACAATCTCACTCTATCTTTTGCGTACTTACCCTCAGAAGCGAGTGGTGCGATCGACCAGGTGGTCGACTTTTAATCGGTTATGAGCTCAATGAACACAGCCACAGACAAGGCTGCTCGTGACGGCGCGTCAGTGCCAACACCAGCACCCGACGCCGTTACCACACGGACTGGCATGGCGAATGTCGCTGAAGAGAAGAGCACCGCTGCCGCCCACGAAAGGGGCGATGGTAACAGCCCCGGCGGAAACCAAATGGGCGCTGGGGATAACGCAGCAGAGATAATGGCACTGCTGCGTGGCGTCGCTAGGAGGATGGATCGACTCGAGGAGTCGCAGTCGAAGCTTGAGAAGAAGCTCGAGGGTGAAGAGGGAAAGCGTGCGCGCGACGGCCACCAGCCAACGACGCCAGCCATGAACGTCAGCTTGTTCGACTCGGGACTGGGACGAGGCAACCCCTTGCACATCGACTACCTTGGGGGCTCACCGCAGACGCCGCTTACGGCCACGCCCTGCAGACCGACAGCTATGCCGCAGTTCTTCGGACAGCAGGCGCAGCAGCAGCAGCATGGATCCGGGATGCCGATGTCACATCTGCAGCGTTTCTACGTGGCGGCGCAAAAAGCACAAGCTGCGCAGCCGGCACCAGCGCCACAACCGCCGGCTGGTGCTGGAAGGTTTCCAGTGGTGGCGCACACCGGCAGCATCCGATACCCTGATGATCGCCAGAAGAAGCTGCAGATAAGGCCCTTCGACGGCACAGAGCTATACGTTGGCCTAGGGTCTGGGTTTTGGAATGGGGGCGGAGGCTCGAACGGCAAGTCGCTCTGGCGGAATCGGTCTGCAGGTTTCAGGGGACCGAGGACGTAAATGTGAGCTTGCGGGGCCACTATCTCTCGGGTAAGGCCGAGCGTTATTACAACAAGAAGTTCGAGAGCTGGCGGAGCCAGCTTCCTACGCTCCAATACGTTAAGGAGCGGATGCTCCAGACCTTCAAGACAACCAGCACGCCAGCTCAAGCTGTGAAGCTCTTCACGTCACCGAAGGACAGTAAACGGTCGTGGCCCGAGCACTTCATGTACATGGCGGCCGTTTCGAAGGCGACCGGAGGCGATTCAGACTACTTGGTTCTGAACAATACCGTGCAGTATGCGTCGGAGAACTTGCGCACGGTACTGATGGCCAAGGTGGACGGCAATCGCACGGACTATTTGCAACGCGCAGAGGCGTTAGCGCAATTTCCGCAGTCCTGGGAGCTGGAACCTGCAAAACACAAGAACCTTGGCAGGGAAGTCGTGAGTGCGGTGGCAGAGCGCCGCAAGGAGACCAGGAAATGTCACGAGTGCGGTGAGCTAAGCCACCTGCCTGTGGCGTGCCCCGAGTTGGTCGAGTCGACAGGAAGAAGCCCGACATCACCTTGGCGGTGAGTGAGTCGATGGATGAATCAGGCGGCGTGTAGATCCTGGACAGTGGATCCAGTAGACATCTAGTTAACGACGCGACGTGGTTGGACGAAGGGGAGGACTGCGAGGCCGAGTGTTTGCAGCCGAACGGGGGCCCGCTGATCATCACAAAGAAGGAATCCGTCACTCTGTGCGTCACTGCGTGTGGCGTTAAACAAAGGGTGAAGCTCACTGAGGTGTATTACGCTGCGGGCGTGGTGCAGAACCTAATCTTGTATGGCCAGCTTGGCCTGAAGGGCTGCACGCTTGGGTGCAAGGACGGATGGCGTGTGATAGCCGAGCGGAGCAGTGGTCGCGTGATATTCGACGTTATGTTACGGCGGAACGTGCTGGTAGTGGCAGGTACAGTGGAGCGAAGACGGGAACTCCCCTAGGAAGTGATCATGGCCGCACTGAACCCGAAAGGCGCCGAGGCGCCGTATTCGGCTGGCGATGTGCAGGAGGGAGCCTTGATGGAGTTCCACAGGCGGTTTGGCCACCTGAACAACGATGCGGTGGAGAGACTGGCAAGGATCCCCGACCACAGGCATCGCGTTGTCGGGTCACAAGCGAGTCAACTGCCTGACCTGCGCTTAAGGCAAGCAAACGAAGAGCCGGCAGTCCACCGAGAAGCACTCGCCAGTTGACAGAGTCGGTGGAGTCATCTGCTCGGATCTGAAGGGACCCATGACTCCACGCGACCGGCTGCAGAATAGATACCTTGTGAACTTCTTCGACCACAAGACAAACTACTGCCAAATCTTCTTGGTGATTACAAAGGATGCGGCAGCCAAGCTGTTCGAGCACTTCCTGGCCTCTTTGAGAAGCGGTTTGACTGCTGCATCCACGTCTTGCGCACAGACTCGGGCGGCGAGTACCAGAACGTCGACATGTTCTGCAAGAGCACGGGAGTGACTCGTCAGCGCAGCGAGGCGCGTAGCCAGGCCTCCAACGGAAAGGCGGAACGGATGCATAGGACGATCATGAACATGGCGGGTTGCATGATATTTGCGTGCGGCGGGAGATCGTCGTGTTCGGGTCGCCATGCACGGTCTACAGGGACCCGAGGAAGAAGAACTTTTCGCAGCAGGGAATGATCGTGGGGATCGGTGAAGAGACCAAGGGGTACCGCCTGTACCTGCCGAAGGACAAGGTGGTCATCACCACACAGCACGTTAGGAACATCGAGACGCTGAACAAGAAACAGAACGAGAACGTGCAGAGGCTGTACCTTCACGACGATACGGCAGAGGCCGAGGAGACGGCGGTTGACCTGGGGGCTGGAACAAGTACGGAAGTGCGGCTGCGATCGCGAGCAGTACTAAAACGACAGGTGAAGCCACGACTGGTAGCGCTCGCAAGTCCAGCGAGAGAACAATGAAGAAGGTCTGGAACCGGGAGCGTCATGTGACGCGGTCGGTAGGCAAGCGAGAGGCTGAGAAGGCGGGCGGATTTTCGCAGCAGGAAGAGGCTGACAAGGATGTCGTGAACAGCGTGCTGGAGGCGGATCCAAGGAGCTACCGGGACGCTATGCGTAGCCGTCGCAGGGACCAGTGGGTGAAGGAAATGGACGAAGAGCTGAGGGCTCTGGAGGCGAATGACGTGTGGAAGCTGATGCGGTTGCCCCGTGGGGTGCGCGTACTTCACACAAAATGAGTATATAAAACCAAAAGAGACGCCGACGGGGCCATCGAGCGCCTGAAGGCGCGACTCGTAGCTTGTGGGAACGAGCAGGAATTCGGCGTTAACTATAGCATCACCTTCACGGCGGTCATTGACATGACCAGCGTCAAACTGATATTCGCACTGGCCAGAAAGTTGAGGGTCCCCGCCAAGCACGGGGACGTGCCCAACGCCTATGTGAAGGCGGACAAGGAGGTCGAGTTGGACATCTACATCCACTTGCTTCAGGGGATGACCATCCCGGAGGAGCTGAAGAAACAGCTTGGCGTCACAGATGACGGTGAGCTGGTACTCGAGCTAAGGAAGGAACTCTATGGGCTCAAGCAAGCTGGACGACTGTGGAGCAAGTTGTTGCACAAGAAGTTGGTGGAGATCGGCTTCGAACAGAGCCTTACGGACATGTGTGTATACGTTAGGAGACGAGGAACGACTTTGCTGGTTGTGGGCGTCTACGTGGACGACCTGTCGGTTACGGGCACGGAGCAGAAGGAGGTGAGCACGTTCTTTTAGGAGCTGGCTGTGCTGTCCGTGAGGGATCTAGGAGAAGCAAGTAAGTTCTTGGGCATGAGGGTCAGCTACACGGATTCGGAGGGCTACGACTTGGACCAGGAGGTGACGATCATCGATATGCTGAAAGCGCACAGCATGGAGAAGATGCACGGCGTGCGTACACCGATCGGAGTGGAATGGAACGAAGTTCAAGCGTCCGAGGGCGCGGCTTTACCTGTCTCAGGGAGAGACGAGGTGGTGACGGTGAAGAAGTTCCATTCCTTGGTCGGTAGCCTGATGTGGATTCCGCGTTGTACGCAGCCGGACGTGGTCTTTGCGGTGCACAAGGTGTCGAGGCGCACGCACAGCCCGACGTTTGCCGACTGGAAGTTGACAAAAAGGATCATGCGGTATTTGGCCGGCACGAAGAAGCTGCGTCTCCACATGAGTGAGGATAAAGGGCCGGACGAGTTGCTCGAGGTGGTGGCGTACACGGATGCAGACTACGCGGCCGACAAGGAAGACCGCAAGTCGGTCACTGGTGGCCTGGTAACGATGGACGGAATGCCGATCGGATGGACCTGCAGGAAAGAGGGCGGTGTGTCCTTGTCTACGATGGAGGCCGAGTTCACGGCAGCGTCGGTGATGGCTACGAAGCTGCTGGGGATCCGAGAGCTGCTGGGCGAGCTGAAGGTTGAGTGACGTCGATGGCGTTGAGGTGCGACGACCAGGCAGCACTCAGGCAGCTCGATGGAGAGGGCTCGTCGGCCAAGGCGAAGCATATAGAAGTGCGGATTAAGCTCGTAGATAGTTACACAAAGAGAGGTGTGCTGAAGCCGGAGTATCGCGAGACTGGGCGCATGCCCGCGGACTTGATGACGTTGGCTGTGGAGGCACCAAGCCTAATGAAGCTCAGAGCCGAAGTCGGGTTGCACTGAGAAGTCGAGGGTGCTGGCGTGGTGTGATGAGATCCGTTCAGGGGGAGATTGGAGCAGCAGTTTGTCAGCGTCGGCGAGGAGAAGTGTTGAAGAAGGAGGATCCGGACCAGGTTCTGGTGTACGCCGACAGCTGTGACATGTAGGAGTGATGGTCAGTTGAGTTAGTGGCTGGTGATTGCGGATACAATCTCACTATATCTTTTGCGCACTTACCCTCAGAAGCGCGTGGTGCGATCGACCAGGTGGTCGACTTTTAATAACCTATCAAAGCGGGGTTATCATCCCTGCCACAGACTGGGATCGGGAGCCATTAAGAGACTACATACTGACTTGCAGAGCTATTAATAAGAAGGCCGGCGCAGATGGTGATAAAGGCAGCTCCACCGCCCGCAATTCTGGGGTTTCAGCCAATAAACGCCCTCGCATCAGGAAAGACAGACCAACGTGCTCACAGCCAAAGAGTAACACTACGGCAGAAACCGATCCTACCCCCCCCTACCCCCCCCCCACACACTCCGAACACAAGATGCGATTCCACAAATATTTATGGGTCTATGCTGGAGATCGAGGCGGCGACATATCCGGTGTCGCTGCGCGCTTCGCCAGAGATCAAGCTGCTCAGGCATCAACAAGACCGCCGAGCAGAGGCTACGAAGCCATCGCTTCCTCAGGGCTTGGAGAAGCGCCGACCGAGCAGATATGGTGCATCACTAGCAGCACTGATGCCAGCTTCTCGCTCGTCGATAATCCCAAGGGGATTGCTGATCACCGACAAGACCGCCGTCGCTATCCGCGAATGGTAACAACCGTCATGAGTACCCCGCGCGTTCTCAATGAAGCGGAACCATCTAGTCCGACCCCGGTCGACTCGCTTGGCCAGCAAACGAAAGAGAAGGTCAATACATTCGAGAATTATCGCTATGGGATCATGCGTGCTGCATTTACCGCAGAGCTCACTGCATTGACGTATGCTCATCTCCAAGACAACCTAGATAATGCTGTCAAGTCTTCGACTGCAGTAGTGAAGTGCATGGGGGGCCATTTCGCGACATGTATCTCATCGCTCATGCATTGTGTAGATCACGACAGAGGTGGTCCACCAGCACAGGGCTACCACAACGCAAATGTTCATGTATTCGGACGCGGAGTGTGATGCCGCGATCATCGAATCGCGTGATAGTGCTCACACAGCTGAAAAAGCGCTGTGCAATTATATGAGGGACCAAATGCGGGCGAATCTCACTTTTAAGAGAATGTATAGCAATCGCAAAAACTACCGAGCCGTTGATACAAACCTTCTGCGGCACTTTTACTGGTTAGGGGGAGAATCCGGGGTGACGTCTACCAACGGATCTTCTTTAGATTGGGGCAGTGTAGCTGGAACATCCGCCACAGTCTCTAATTCGGCTGCAGCATGCTCAACCATGACAGGATCAGTGACGGCGCTAATGGATTTATCGGCTGCAATTATCACAGCGGCAGATGCAACAAGTGTTAGCCCAGCCCAAGAGACTGCAGATCAAGCACTGAATCTGCCCGTCGCACCAGTATCGCCTTCTCACCTACGCAAACGTTAGAGAGACTCAAAGACAAAGAGGTTGATCGAGACAACCTGAGTGAGTCTGACGGAGATGATGCTGACGACGTTGTGGCTGAGAGTAGTGTATTTGTGTATATATATGTGTGGGGGGGGGAGGGGGGGGGATGAAGAAAGTTCGAGCGCTGAGGGAAGCTCCGAGAGAATTGGTTTTGAGGAAAGTAATGAGGCGAAGAGAGACGATCGCGTCCACCATTGGATTTTTCGACCGCAAGTCTCACAAAACACTCCTATGTTTATCTGGAAAGATCCTAAGATCCGGATAAAGACTGAGTTGTCCACGTTTATACCAGCTGGACATCAGTAGCGTACAGGAAGACATATTTCTAAGAGCGTGTTCACTACGATACTGGAGATGGAGATCAATCAACGAGTAAAATTTACTAATAGATGATTACCCAAAACTGTAGTAGTAACAACAGCACAGCTGGAGAGTTTACCTCGTCTCCGTCTCTAGCTACATGAGGTAGAGAGGGTTGGAGACGGATAGATACAGGGTTCACATCTTTCTGCAACTTGTGACCCTGCACCACCAAGGCCCAAAAAGCAGATACGCACCGTGACAGTCCTGGGCTTCGAGCCCATGCTTCTGTCCGCCAGTTGTGAGAGTCGGTTTGAAGCCAACCTTCGATGCACCAAGAAAACGTTTTTTTGCTTATCAATAGTTTGCTTCACCGGTAGAATATTCTTTTCGCTGTAGTCAATTCCAAGCGACACTCCTAAAACAGGAAAGTGGCTGCAGCGCTCTACGTTTTAGTGTCGGCGGGAAGATATCGTGCTCCACGCAGCAGCGAGCTGTTTCGAGCTCCTAGTGCCCTGAAAACGATGCTTCATCGTCACAAAACGCACACGTAATAAGGTTTCCGCTGCCTTCGACGTCCATGCGAGCACTGGCTGTGGTGGTGCGTCAAAAGCAGCTCTTCGACTGCTGGGAGGCCTACTTTACGGGCCTCGCGTGGCGTGTTAATACGTAGGCGAAGTCTTTGTTGGTGCGTGTCATGTCCCACGACCCACGATCAAAGATCCACTGTGCAGCCAGCCGCTCGTCCCCGTTTGTATGCTGCGCCCCGCCCCGCCTGAAGGAGTGCGAAGTCAGGTTGGCTGAGGCTCCCGCATGCTCTGATACCCGCTTCAGGAACCGGTTCACGTGCGCTTGAGCCCCGTCGCCACTGCGAGCTTGGTTGGTCGCTGAAGGGCTGGCTGCAGCGGAGCTTGGAACGCTGGCTGGGTGGCAACAGCCCATCAGTCATCCATGATGCAGGAAGCTGCAAAGAGGTGGCAGCACTGACCGCAAGTACTTGTAGTACATCGAGAAGGGATGCTCCTGCATTAAGTGATGGCGCGGGCGGTGTCACAACAAAGGGAAGCTGGTTTAGCAGGGACACACAAGGCGACTCCTGCATCACCAAGACCACTGCGAGCGTGTGCAAGCAGGCAGGTCATAAAATCCGCGTCGAGCGTGAGGCCTTGTTCCTCAGCCGCCTTCATTCGTAGTATCCAAATGTAGAAAACGTTGTCAGCTGACATTGTGATGTGCGGCTTTGTGACGTAGCCGAGATCCGATGACTGGCCGAAATAATGCAACATGAGGCACGCAAGCGCTTCATCTTCGTAATGTGAGGCGACGGATGCTGTTTTATACACATAGCAAATTAGTGAGCGCAAATCCGCCTTTGTCTAAGGTGGCGCCTTGTTACTAAACCCTCCATTTTCACGGTATAGGCAGTGCTTTTCTAGAGTCTTCCCTTGGTTAAGCAATATTAACTCGGTTGTATTTAAGATGAGGATACTCATAAACAACCAAAGCTTCACGTTTCTTAAGTAAGACAATGCCGGTGATGGGCGCCAACTTACCTTTCTTACCCTAGCATGTGGCGAGAAAATAGCCAAAATGACCCATCACCGCCGCTAAGCTCTTTCCAGAGCTGTCACTGAAAATGCATGCTCGGGCAACGTCCATGGATACATCCTCGACTTTTAGCATACGCTCGAAGGCGCCTATTCCGGTACAGCAATCTCTCTCACTTCCGGTACCGTGGTCCGATTCTATCTTACGATTTGAAATACTGTTTAAGAAGTTTCTACGTGTACATGTACCTACAAGCCCAGTTGCGAAGCGCGGACTATGATGTCTGGAGGGCCATCTTGAGAATGTCGGAAACAGTCGTTTGCGCAGGCGGCCGCTTCAGCCGGTAGGTGATTTTTGCCTATGCCGCCAATTCGCTTTTTGTCATGCCTGGGCAATCTTCAGCATTCTACATGATGCTTCGCTTTTGCTGAATTTTCAGCCAGGCCCCCATGAGAGTTTGTGAGCGTAATGTAAGCTTTGTTATGGAGACTGCCGGGCGGCTCTAGATGACCGGCTTGGAGTTTGAGTTGTTCGACTGCCAGCGGCTGTCAAAACTCGGGGAGTTATACCTCTCTAAAATGATCGTGTCGTTTGGCTCAGGATATTTAATCTTAAGTAGTACCGGATTCGAGAGAGATTACTGTAGTACGCGCTTTTTGCGTATATGTAGGGATAAGTGCGGAGAGGCTCATGTGTTTCTTCTGTCTTTTTAGATGACTGGTTGAGTGTACCATTACACTTCTGTTTAATGTCAACCTAAACTAGGAGGTATACCGCATTTTCGGAATCACAAAAATTATTGACATATTCCTTACACGACTTAAATTCAGTATGGGCTGCTAGATATTTAGCTCTAGCTTCCGACAAATATTTGTCAGAAAATATCGGAATGAAGAACCAGGCTAAATTAAGATAAATTGTAATATACGATTGGATTTTAAATCAGTCCTGCGTCGGTAGATTTATCCATACCGGTACTACAAGTTGTATTTTTTTATTTTTTAAATAGCCCAAAGTACCCGCCCTTTGAAATTATCGGGTGGGTGGGTCCCCAAAACCCCAAAATTCTAAATTCCATTTGCGAACACTGCTGAAGAGCATGAGCTTCTTGCTCGACGATACCGACCAAAGCGTCATGGAGGCGGCGCTGTCTCTTGTAGACGAATTTTCAGGTGGTACATTAGGCGCTGAAGACCCTTTCACAGCGTCCACAGCTCGAGCACCGCAGGAAGACTGCGCCCAACCTGAAATAATGCGGCGCAACCAGGTCAACGAAAGAAAGAAAATACTGCGCGCTGCGGGCGTCTACGGCAACTCGAACCACGTGCGTAATAACCGTCGAATTGAGATCGCGTACCTTAAGGAGCAACTGGAGACGCTGCAGATTGACCTAGAGGTACTCAAAAGGAAGAAGGGTGGAGGCAACACCAGAACGAGAACTAGGGCCGCTAGACTTGCAAGGTGACGTGGGTGAGTTCCAAAAATTATTTCGCCACTTGGATAACGCATTTCACGACCTAGACGCTGTGTTTGCAGCAAACGGTCTGAACAATATGGTCGTGACTCGAAGTGATGTCCAAGTAAGAGACGGAGCAGGCGGCAAGTATGTTGAGTTGTTTTTCAACAAGGTGCTACCATTCAAGCTGCAAGACGCAAGGGAAGCTACGTGGGAACACTTTCGCGGATCCGAGAAGCACATGGGCAATGGCAGCGTGTACAAGAAGACAGCACAGGTGCGTATGTTATCATAGAGAGGCGTTTACTATGCTGATACACTAACAACGCTGTGTACATGTAGGACGCTAATGCGCCCTGCACAATTCTCGAAGATTTCACGAAGGAGATGCACTCCAACAGTGCTCGGGCAGATGCAAGAATGAAGCAAGTCGTTAGGCGTCATGTTGAACCCAACCGCGACGTTGTTATTGCTGTCGTGAGCGTCAACCCGGCCGAAGTGAGGAACAAGAGGCTCTGTGGGTTGAGATACCAAGTGCGAAGCTACGCAGTGACCAAGTGGTCTGCTGCATCAACACCTGAGCACGAGGTGTCTCAGCTGCAGTGCTGCTCACTTATTTCATTCGACGAGGAGACGGAGGCGAAGCTCGGATCTGATGCTATTCAAGCCCTTATTAATTTTCTTATCGTCAGCTTAGCTGCCAAGATGCAAGGACACCAGGATTGCATCGAAAACGCTCTCATGGACCATGCCCTCCTACCACAGCAAGTTTTATGAGAATGGTTTGAAAAACTACTTTTACCGCATAAGCTGCACGTATGCCAAAGAATGACAATCTATTTGTACTTTTTAACAGTCGCACGACATCAAATATTTGCTTAAAAATTCTTCGAAGCTCCAAGTAATGGGTTTCAACTTGCCACAATCCACCAACTTGGTATGATCTCGAGTCGTTGGTGGCAATAGAGAACGTTAGTTTCTGGAAAAACGCAAGGCTTGGAATTAGAATTTTGCTCGTCCACAGCATAGGGTCGCGTTATTCCACTGAATTCAGGCCTTCCGATAATACAACTGCAATGAGATTCTTTATTGTCTCGATAAGAGCAATATCACACCACTACAGTACTTCCAAGATGCATTGCTTGCTAATGAAGGGGTTGTCAAAGACATGGTGAATTGAATAATGGGAAGAACTGAGCTGGATACACTCCCAAGGACTTGCTAGCCAACCAAGCAGTGGTTGGTCCTCAGTTCTGCTTTGCTGGGATTGAGTAGTTTTGTGAAGCATGGACTACAAATAATTTATGACGATACTGGAAATATCTTCCTGAAATTTTTCATCATAAATTAAAATAAATTAAATCAAACAAATATTTTCATATATTATTTTCACTGCAGTGTATTTATTATTCGGAAGGCCTGACTCGAATAAAGTATTGGAATATTGATCGGTAATCTATCCGTCATTTTTAGCTTAAAATTTTTAAGGTTAAACCGTACTTCCATGGCATTTTCTCTGGAGGACGAGGACGACCTGGCTTTCCAGGCGGCTCTGTCATTTGCAGACGAGTGCAAGCTTGATAATGACGAGATGGAAGACGTCGAAGCGTTTAGAATTGGCGCCTTGGTGCAGTGTAACGAAGAAAGGGCCGCTATAGCTCCAAGGGAAGCCACTGTTTCGACAAAGACTCGGAATATTGCAGGCTCGAATCGGAGTCGACGCATGGAGCTCAATGAGCGCAAGAAGCTGCTGCGCAAGGCTGGCATCTACGGAGATGACAACTGGATGAGCAAAGACAGCAGACTGGAGATCGCGTATCTCCGCGAAAGGATCGAAAAACTTAATCTCGACGTGCAGGTGTTGCATACTCGTAAGGGCAGACAACGAGCAACTCTTCCGGTATCGCAGAATTCTACGAATACCATGAATTTGGGAGTGCAGATCCCGAAAGTATGGGAAGAGATCGCTGGTCGACAGCAACGTCGACTGAAAGCAGCGGAGCGTGAAAATGCCCGCCTGAAACTGGCAGTGCAGCACCAGCGCAACAAGGCGACTTGCTTGAGTAACCTGATGCAGAAGCGAGTTAGTCATCTGGTATGTGGTGATGTCGTACTAGCTCTTGCCCAGCCTGAAATACTAACATTCAGTGTTACAGACGACTGACTGCTCTACCTTTATGGACTTCGCCTTCTCCAATCAGCATAGTGCTAGTGTGTTGAGTTCTCGTAGTGGTGGTGCAAGAGACTTCCCTCTCTTGTTCCGTCATCTTGAGGCCGCTCGTCAAGAAGTGGATGCAGTGTTTGCTTCCAATGGCCTTGCAAACATGGTGCTCACTCCCAATGACGTTCAAATTCGCGAAGGTGTGGACGGCAAATACTTAGAAGCCTTTTCAAATAAAGTGCTACCTTTCGGACTACGTGCTGCAACTGAGGCTACGTGGGACCATTTCAAGGGATCCGAAAAGCATCTCGGCAATGGAAATATCTACGAAAAGACAGCAAAGGTGCGAAGCTCACGGTGTTTTCTTTTTGTGATATTTCCGCTGGGTTCTAACGGAATTCTGCTTTAAACAGAGTCTCGACGACCCGTACACGATCGTCGAGGAGTTTACGAAGGAGATGCACTCGAAACACGCTCGGGCAGATATCAGGGCACAGCAGATAGTCCGCCGCTATGTAGAGCCCGACCGCGACATTGTAATCTGGGTCTCTATTGCCGAGCCCGCAGAGATCAAACACAAAATGCTACGTGGACTCACTTACCATCTTCGAGGCTACGCAATGACCAAGCGGTCGGCCGCTTCAACCCCCGAAAATGAGGTTTCCCAGCTGCAGTGCGTATCGTTGATCTCTCTCGAGCCTGAAGCTGAAGCGATCTATGGCTCCGAGACTGTACGCGCTGTCACCAATTTCCTTATTGTTAATGCAGCCCAGAAGATGCAGGCTCACCAGGACCGCATCGAGAACGCCCTGGTCGACAACCAACTAAAGCGCCGCGGTTATAACGACGATGTAAGACCTACAACGTAATTGTAAAAACGATTTGGCAGTAAAGACGCTGCACAATGACACGGACACAAACCATTTTCTCATCATTAAACGAGTAGACCATCAATGGTGTTCTTGTTAGAAGACGACGAACAAGTCGTTGAGGCTGCGCTGTCCTTCGTCAGTGTGCAGGTGATGCTTCGGTAGCTTCGACCGCACCAATCTCCTCCTCCATGACGACAAATGACAAACACGTTCCCATGGTTCAGTCTACTCGATGCAAAGCTCCGGTGCATCTGACGTCGCGTGAGGACAAGATGCGACGACGCGTGGAGGTCAACGAGAAGATCCGGGCATTGCGCAAGGCAGGCGTCTACGCTGACTCGAACCGCGTGCGCAATAAACGAACGCGCGAAAATTGCTTTCCTTCGCGATCTACTGGAAAAACTACAAGTAAGTTTAGAGGCATTAAAGGCGCAGAAGAGCAGTAGACAGACAACAGCAAGCACTTAATCAGGACAAGAAAAAGGAGTGCCGATAACACATAACCCGGGGATGTGGCGAGAGGTGCTGAACATCCAGCGCCGACGACGTGAGGAATCTGAGAGCGAGAATATTCGATTGAAGCTCATTCTCCAGAGGCAGCGAAAGGTAGCGGCCAGCATGACCAGCATGCTGCAGAAGCGAGCGAGTGGACTGGTACGGCCGACTTGACTTTTTTGTGCAACTGAGAGTCTAAATTTCTTGTCATACTGTAAAGGCTAGCGACTGCGCTGGTTTCATTAGGCGACACGGCGTGCCGAATCCGACGCCAGGGCGAGCTTACTGCGGAGATGTGGAAGGCTTTAATGAACTGTTACGACGTCTGGATGCAGCTTGCAAGGAAGTGGACGCTGTGTTTGCCGTCAACGGTCTCGCTGACATGGGGGAGACTTCGGACGACGTGCATATTCGAGAAGGTGGCGATGGCACGTACGCCGAGGCATTCTCGAACAAAGTCCTTCCCTTTGCGTTGCGTTCTGCGACTGAAGCAACATGGGACCATTTCAAAGGATCAGAGAAGCACTGTGGCAATGGCAATATCTACGAAAAAACAGCTAGAGTGAGTCGAATCAAAGTTGACAGCGAATATTGACGGTTGCTAATGTAGGTATTGTTGTTGCCAGCAGGATCTGGACGAACCGTACACGATCGTGGAAGCGTTTACGAAGGAATAATTCTCCAAAAGCTTTCATGCTGACATCCAGGTGAAGCAGGTTATTCGGCGCTACGTTGAACCAGAACGAGACATCGTGATATGGGTAGCACGCGTATCACCTGCAGAGATCAAGCACAAAAGACTGAGTGGGCTCACGTATCATCTGCGAGGTTACGCCGTGACAAAGCGGTCCTCCCTGTCAACACCAGTACAAGAGGTTGCTCAGCTGCGGTGTAGTTCCATGGTCTCACTTGATCAAGACGGTGAGATGAGTTACAGCGCCGAAAACATGCATGCTCTCTCCAACTTCCTCATCGCCAGCACTGCTCTCAAGATACAGGCACACCAAGACAAGATCGAGAATACTCTCGTGACGCGATCTCTACAACAGCAAACAGTATGGAGATCGATGTTCTCTCCATTTAAATGCACCAACGCAGATAGTTCGCCGAAAAGCCTCGGTTTCCAGTGAGAAAGGAGAAGATAGGAGGAGGTCACTAACGGAGAAGGTTGCTGCGCAAAGCTGGTACCTGTAACCCAAGCAGAGTCCGCAATGAACGAACGCACGAGAGAGAGAGATTGACTTCCTGCGCCGGCATTAGAAGCTGCAGCTCCATCTAAATTGTTTTTACTGAGTCAACGGATAAGAAAGAGACGACAACGTGAATGGTACTTGCGAGGTCTTCGGCGTCAGTGTCTGGTATATGGAGGGATCAGGCAGCTCATCAGGGATCAGGCAGCTCATCAACGACGTCGTCAAGAGGGGGCGGTGCGTGACAATTTCCAATTGAGACTCGCTGAGGAGCAACAGAGGAAGGTGGCAGATTTTCTTAAAAAGCTAATACAGAAGCGGGCTAGCCAACTGGTAAGGCAGCAGACTGTCGGAAATATTGTTCATCACGATCGTCTTAACTGGTTTGTTTGTGCTGTTGTAGACGAACGAGTGCGTCTCAAGCGAAATGCTGTCGACGCACTCAACTGTTGTGGTGATGTTGAAGACCTCCGGGGCCTTGGTTGCCAACTCGAAGCAGCGTACGGGACATTGTGTGCTTCACCACACGCCTTCAAAGCGGTCTTCAGTCGTATCTTGCATGGTGAACGGGTCCTATACGTCGAGAACTCGAGATATTTCTCTGCCACGGCTTCACGGACATGAACAATAATTGAAGAAAGCGTCATGGCGACCAAACCATTCGTAGCGATGGGCTAAGGACTTTTGGACCAGAGGACTGCAAAGGCGAGAGGTGGTCACTGTCGACAAGGTATTCTCATTCTGGACTTCAAATGTCCTGTTCTTGACTGTGTGTGGACGTACAATATTAGTACCATCAACAACCCTTACACTATCATTGAGGACTTCTCCAAGGATATCTTAGCCTACAACTCTCGCGCAGACGGAAAAGTGAAACATGTAGTGTGACGTTATCTCGAGCCCGAGCGCGATATCGTGATTTGGGTATTGCGTTGCGCACCTGCCCAGGTAAACACACAAACGTCTCCGTGGTCTAACCTACAACCTCCGAGGCTACCGTATGCTACAAGACTGTCACCATCGTCGACTCCGGGAAAAGCTATAGCTGTGCTCATTGATCTCGCTCGACAAAGACGAGAAGACCAAGTACAGTCCTGATGACGCACTAATTTCCTCATCCTCCAGAACATCCTTGACATCGTGAACACGTTGGAAACACACTCGCTCTCGCGTAATACTACAGTACCTGAAAAACCTCTGAATCTTGAAGCAAATATAGTGGATGTTTTCGCTTAAGACGGTCCATTAGTGTGCAAAGGAACCCCCTCCCATTGGGGGCCCAAAAAAGCCGTCAGTAGCTGTATCATGCAGGTACTGACGGATTTTTGACCAAGAGAGCGAGAGGTAACGCGAGGAAGAAGCTGTTGCGTCAAACTGGCATCTACAGCGACATGAACAGAGCACGCAACAAAAGGGTGCGAGAGATCGCATTCCGGCGCGAGCAGATTGAAAAGATGCAGATCGATCTACAACTGCTGCAGAGCAGACAAATTAATGACCAAAATGGAGGGAAGCAACCCAAAGCAGCGGCGTTAATCGCAAGGCATGCCAAGTCGCAGGTTTCCTGCATGTGGCAAGAACAAGCAGCCAGACAACAGCGTCGTCGTGAAGAAGCTGAACGGGACAACGTCTGTCTTCGACTCGCACTCGAGCGACAACAGAAGGCCCAGAGGCTGGAAAATTTGATAAAGAAGCGATCAAATCAACTGGTAAAGTGCTCGGTACATGGTCGTATGTATGATTTAACTCTTTTTGGCCGTGCTGCTGCTATTGTAGACGAATGAATGCACGTTTCTGATGACTATGTGCTGCTTGCGAAGCAGCAATGTTGACGTACTGGACTTCTGTGGCGATATACAAGATTTTCGAGGTCTTTTCAAGCGTGTTGAAGATGACTATAGGGACGTAAATGTCGTGATTCAGGCTAATGGTCTGGCCAGGTCAACCATCTCCCCAAATGACGTGCATATGCGCGAAGGGGTTGATGGCAAGCTCCTCGAGTTCTCGTTTTACAAGCTTCTGCCCTATGTACAAGCCGCCGCAGAGTCTGTGTGGCAGCATATCAAAGGAGTGGAGAAGCATTTGGGCGTCGGTAGCATCTACAGCAAGACAGCAAAGGTACGTTCAGGAGACTTGAAGGCAAGTGTGTGTGTGTGTGTTTTTTTTACTAAAATTCGATATTAGAATCTCGACGAGCCGTACACTGTTATTAAAGACTTCTCGATAGAAATCTACTCCAACAGCTCTCGCGCAAACTACAAGACGAAGCCAGTGGTTGGACGTTATGTGGAAGATGACCGAGACATCGTGATATGGGTATTGCACGCCACGTCCGTGGAGGTTAAGCACAAGCTGCTCAGTGGTTTATCCTATAACTTGCCATTACGAAGCGAGCAGAGCCTTCGACTGCCGGGCAAGAGTTTATCCAGCTTCAGCTGTGCTCTAGAATCTCGCTGGACCAAGATAATACCAAGACGTACTGCTCGAACGCTTGTCAACTTTCTCATTCTTCACGCGGCGAAAACATTGACACCCACCGCAAAAGTATCGAGGACAACCTGGTCGACCGTGTGCTCGGAAGGCGATTGCAGGGATAAATTTCAATTAAAAAAGCTGTAGCGTTGAGATGAGTCTACTTCCAGATCACGTTCAGGGCAAGTCGACATAGCAAGAAGAGAAGACTACTCCATAAGGCTGTCGTGTATAGTAACCCGAACCGAGCGCGTAATGCACGTACGAAAGAAGCTACCGACCTCCGCGTGCTCGTGGGGAAGCTCCACTTGGATCTAAAAGTCCTGCAAAGCCACACATCGCGACATATCCCATCAACAGACTTCGAGTGAACGATTTCGACGTCACGTATCTTCAACATATTGCGCGTAGAAAACTTCGCCGCCGCAACGAGGCTGAACATTGCAACATGTACTTGAAATTCGCTTTGGGTAGTCAGCAAGAGATAGCGACCAGTCTAAGCAGACTACTGCGCAGGCGAGCAACTTAATTGGCAAATGAATGCTCGTCCCTGATGAACTTGGTATGCGCAAAAACTACATGGTCGATGTATTATACTTCCGCGGGGACACTGGGGAGTTCCAGAAGCTGCTTCGTCGGCTCGACTTTGAGCACTAAACTATCGACCTGCAAACGGGCTCAGCAGCATGACTCTTTCGATGTCTGTACCCTGCATGGAATCAGACTATCAGTGACAGGAATCTTGGGATATGATTGCTTTACTCGTTGAATCAGCAGCTACAAACGTAGCGCAAACATGTAGTTTTCCCGTGGCTGCGGATACCATGCCGTTCAGTTGGCTATTCCTGTTCGTCTGTCCACCGAAACTCGACAGGATACGGATAAAACCGAGAGAATGATTGCTGCGCCAGCTCGACGTCTATGGTGATTTGAATAGAGCTCGGAACGAATGCGCACGCGAAATTGTCTACCTGCGCAATCAGGTTACCAAATTCTAACTGAAGCTACAAGCACTGCGGAACCAGAGACGTCGTTGGAGCAAACAAGAAGGGATGGATCGGGTGAAGCCTCAGAGTAAGACAACAAGCGTGTGGTAACACAAAGCACTGCAATAATGCTGTCGTCTAGAGGTGAGAGCATTCAAGACGGCGGCTGAACAGCAGCGGGGGTAGCTTGATGAACTTGATGAAAAAGCGAGCAGTTCAACTGGTACGGAATTGCGCTACATGATAGACTGCCTAGATGACCGATTAACCAAAATGACTACAACTTGAATTCGTTTGTCAGCGCGTCGATGTACCCTGTGTGAGTCAGCGTTTTCGATGATCATCCGGGATGAGACATCACGTGCAGAGTCGAGTCTGCCGGCCGGTCCGTTCACCGCTCATCTGTGACACGAGTCCGGTGTCAAGCATGACATTCCTCCTAGAAGACGACGATGAGCAGACCTTCGAGGCGGTGCTGTCCTTCATCGACGGCTTCGAGCGGCAGGATGTAGCAGATGGCGCTCTCTTCTCGATTACACATCTTCCCGATGCGTTATCAAAGCTAACGCACAGTCTACTCGGCCCAAAAGACGAGTACTCTCAAGCGATGAGAAGGTCAGACGTCGAGCAGAGATAAATGAAAGAAAAAAGCTGCTTCGAAAAGCAGGAATATACGGAGATCCGAATCGCGCTCGTAATGCTCAAACGAGGGAAATTGCGCTCCTCCGAGAGCAATTTGAGAAGCTCCAACTGGATCTTCAGAGCCAAAGAAGTCAGGCAGCAGAAAAGCAGAAGCATGGAATGCAGCAATGTGCAAATTCGCTAGCTGTAACGCCCCCGATTCCAAGTATGTGGCAGAAACTAGCGAGCAGGCAACGACAGCGACGGGAAGAAGCCGAGGAGACGAATGTCCGTCTGAAATTGGCACTGGAACAACATGGCCAATGCCCTGCGTAGCTTAATGAAGACGCGAGCAAATCAATTGGTAAGACGTCAGTTTAAGCTGGACAGTGCAATCCGCTCAACTGGTCTGCTGCTTTTACGAAGGCAAAGGACTATTCATCCTTCACAGATCTGCGCTTTGCGAAACATCACGTCGTCCAAGCTCTGGATTTTAGCAAAGATGACAGCGAGTTCCATCGACTGCTTCGGCTTCTTGATACTTCCTATCAGGACATGGACAACATCTTCGTATCGAACGGCTTGGTTGGCATGGATATCACTCCAGGCGAGATTCACATTCGGGAACGAACCAAAGGCAGCTACCGGTATTTGGAGTTCTTCAGCACCAACATCTTGCCATTCGAGCTGGTCGCAACGAAACAAGCTACTTGGGCTTATTTCAAGGGAATCGAGAAGCATCTTGGCTACGGAAATTTGTACAAGAAAGCAGCCAAGGTATCTAGTGACAAGACCTGGCTTGTTTAAAGTAAGGTGTAAGCTCACCGCTGTTTTGGTTGTTATTTGCTTGCTGAGAACAGGATCTTGACGAACCTTTTACTGTCGTGGAGGACCTAACCAAGGAGCTATACGCTGGCAAAGCTAGAGCAGATATTCGAATTAGACAAGTTATTCGACGATATGTCGAAGACGAGCAAGACGTTGTGATACGAGTTTACCGCGCGATGCCAATTGAGATCAAGTTATTCGACGATATGTCGAAGACGAGCAAGACGTTGTGATACGAGACAAGTTATTCGACGATATGTCGAAGACGAGCAAGACGTTGTGATACCTCAGCAGATTGACATACCAATTGCAAGGTTACGCCGTTACCAAGCGCGCTTCTTTTTCGACTTCGGGCCGGGAACTCTCGATTCTTCAGTTGTGCACCCTCGTCTCTTTCGATCTAGACGAAGTCGAGGCTATGAGCGACCCCTGCAGTCTTCGTGCATTCACAGATTTTCTTATCACCCATACGGCGCAGAATCACTGCGAGATCATCGAGAGTGCTTTAGCTGATCGAGCTCTAGAGCAACAATTAGCATTAACCCCCCCCCCCGCACTTATAGGTTGTATTTGACGACATGTGACCAAAAGGGGCGCCTGGTCCTGTTTTTCCACATGTTGTATATACAACATGTTAAAGACAGTTAAATGCACAGGGTTAGGCTGAAAAATGCACAGAACACGCACACAAAACTCCTCCGATTTGTCACAAAGGTTGCTGACTCTCGCCTCGTGTAATCCACCGATTTCACACATTCGAGAAAAAGCAACGGGGGCCAGAGATGGTTGGCCGGCGCAAAAACGCGTCGCGAGTCAGAAGCGTTCCTCGCCCGCCTGGAAGGCAAAAGCTCGGAGGGTCGGGTGCGCTTGACTGCCCAGCACACAGCATACCTGAACGGAGAGAGGGAGACGGATGCCGACTTCGGGAACGAGGCCGCGGGGGCAACGCAGACGACTACGGTGGCCGCGACGAAGGTAAGGCAGACGACGACGGCTATGACTCGTGGGCAATCCATTCCGGCGCTTCCGAGCCGACCACCTGTTGGAAAGACGGCGTCGTACATTGCAGCGGCAAAGAAGCTGCGGGCAGCTCGTCTCGCAGCTAAGGCCAAAGCGGAGCAAAAAACTAAAAAAGGGAAAAAGAAGATGACCAAGGTCCAGCGCGAAGCTTTGGCGAAGGAAAGGAATGCGTTCAAAGAAATCGAAGCTGTAGCCCGTGTGGAGTCTATATCTGCACGACGTGATGCCGAGAAAGCAAGGGAACGTGCGCACGTGGTCGACGAAGAACGCAGCGGGGCTGAAGCGCGCCAAGCAGCGCTGAAAGCACTAGCAGCAGCAAGGAGGAAGGAATCGTCAAAGTCTCCCGCAGCGAAGAAGCAGAAGAAAACCGCCAGTCCGCACCTTGCTGAACCAGTTGAGGATTCAGATGCAGACGACGAGAGTATGCTGTCTGCATCAAAGTACGTGATTCTCGACATGCTGAACATACTACATTAACTAATTGTTTTAATGTTGTATCTGATGTTATGTTGTTTCAGATCACCACCAATACCACTCGAAGCCACAGTCCTGCCTCCAGCCAGACATCAAACGGCCAGGTAGCTTCTGCGATGATATATATACTGCATGTGTGAACGCATAGAAGATGTATATTGACGCGTGATGTGAACTACTTTGGGACAGGGTTTTGAGTATGGACACGACTGAGCCACTCACGTCTTCCGCTCCAGCTATGAATGCATCCGTTGAAGATTATGATAATGGAGCTCTCAACTCGGACTTGGATGGCGAAGGCGAAGATTCGGATAACTGGTATATTGAGGAGCAGGACTTGTATGCAAAGCACACGGACGACGACCTTCTCAGCGAAGATGCATACTAGCCGTTCGCCGCCGCTACGCGGCGGAGTGGCATGGTTTGTTGGAGATGAGGTGGCCGCAACCTTAGTGCTTCTTGGTGTCGCGTGTTTTGAGAGCGTGGTTCACCCCGTAGATCTTGGCATCGTGTATTTAACCACTTGCCTTCCGTAGTCTCATTCGGCCCCGTATAATATCGTGGTTTGGAACGTTTCCGTTACCCCGTACTACAGGTTGGGTGTTGTTTTCTTCAATGGTCAATGCTCTTTCGTGCTCTTCCTGGCTTCGAGGTTCCTGCTCACCCATGGCCCACGCTGCTCAGCGGTTCTGTCCTCTCTCTTGTGGGTTCATGCTCTTTAGTACGGTCTTTTCGTTAAAGCTAACTGTTTTCCGTTCTCAAACGTTTACGTGGGTTGCACTGGCTTCGTGGTAGATACTATTTCGTTACCATTGGCCTTCCATCGCCGGTGCTCTAACCAAAGGGTGCTATTCCGTGCTTTGGTGCCTCCATGCAGTCGTGGTTCCGTCGCCCGTGCATCGTGATCTCCTGATGAAGTGTCATCGACCGCGGAATCACGCTATCGTGCAATCACGGTGTGGTAATGCTGTCTATAGTATGGTGCTCGCGTAGTGCATCTGCGTTGCCCGTGTTATCGTGCTCTACATGGGCTTCGTGCTCCACGGTGTGCAATCGTGGTCACCCCAAGCACCCCCGTGATTTTCGTGGCTGGTCTGCCGTCCGTGCAATCGAGTTTTAATATGCTACTGTCCTCCGTGGCTCGGGGAGCTGAGCTTCTACGCTGGTATCGTGCTCCGTGGCTCAAAGATCTCCCGTCTATAGCTCCTGTGGCTGTGCTCCCCTATGGCTTCGTGGCACAGTCCATGCTATCGTGTTAGCTTGCGATGTTGCGGTTGGTCTGTCGTCCGTGAGATCGTTAGCTACCGTAGTGTCGTGCTGTCGAACTCGGTGAGCTCCGATTCTACCCTAATATCGGGCTCCAATGCTCGGATGATCTTCCGTTTATGGTACATCGCGTTTTCACGTTTGGTCGGTCGACTGTGCTCCGTGTTGTACCGTGGTGCTATGGGAGAATTACTGTCCGTGCACTCTTACCGCTACGTGCTCTACAGTGGCTTCGAAGTTGCGTGCTCTTCCGTAGCCGTGCATTTCAGCATGCTGGGGTGTCTATGTATTTAGTTCCCTTCCGTGGCCCGTACGCTCCCGTCATATTCTCGTTCTTCTGTTCTTTCCATGGCTGCGTGCACTTCCATCTTTCACGCTACGTAAAACACTTCGTGGTTTGCATCGGCTAAATCTTCTATCATCGTCCATGACGTTCCGTGCTTCGTGTTGCTCTTCTATCCCATCGCTTTTCGTGTTCTTGCTGACTCGCGTGCCTCCGCGCAAACTTGATCACAAACGCTGTTCCGATTTTGTTTGATGTACACAACATATATTGTTGGAAAGATCACACAATATCTTAAGGTCGTGTGCAAATACAGAGGAAGATGATACTTTTCCCGGGGGCAGTGTGGGGTGCAGGGGGGTGTCGGGTGGGAAGTCATAATAGTCATATTTTAAAGTTTTCACATCCTAAAGTATCAATTATTAATAGTAGTAGTAGAGGTGTGATTTATTATAAACGTTAACATAATAATTATGTGGACTCCTACTACAAATAACTGCAAGCAAAAATATGAAATGTCTTAAGAATAGTACTACGCAAAACAGTACTGTAAGTTAAATTATTACAAACCTACTACGAAGCAAATCAAATCATATTTAAACCAATAAGTACTAATGTTTTGATTGAGGCCGAAGTATGAGTCACCGAAGCCTACAAATTTTATCAACAGCACCTACGACGATAGAGAACGTGTGTGCTCATCGGCGCCTTTTAATTCAGCTAACTAACGCGTACACAGGCAGCGCCCTTCGCGTGGCCTTGCATACCGCAGCTGAAAATAAAAGCAAAATATAATTTGAGCGGTACATTTTAAGTACGATATGTAGCCCACATACAATGTGTACACCACATATTGCGATTTTAGCCAATCGAGGCCGCCTTCGCTGCGCTCGGCAGCCAGTAGAACGCGCGTTTTAGCGTGAGGATTATTAGCCCTAGCCCGTTACGGACGTTACAGACGGACAACACACTCCACTAGGGGGGTAAGATGAATTTCTTTCAAGTGATAGTGATGGTAGTTTGGACGGTTCAGCGCTCCTCAATCGTGACAAGAGGAAAGCCCAAAGAGAGCTGGAGAAGCGACGTCTGCAGGCAGCTATCGGCAAGCTGCGACGTGACTGGAACACAACCACAAACAATTGGGACACGCTGACAAAAGACGAGATGCAAGCGCTCGCGCAGGATGATGCTGCTCTGAAGAAGATGCGAGTAGACGGCTGGGAGTTTGGTAAGGTTTGTGAGATGATGTATATACAACATGAAACTAATGTGGTATATGTTGTATGATGTTTAGATACCGCATCGCATCCTGAACGAGCAGAACCATACCCGAGTCTATACAGTGGTGACAATGGACCAACGGAGGCAGCGATTGAAGTAGCCGAGTCCCCATTACAACTCTTCTTCTTCTTCATGCCTCGTCGACTTTGGCGCCGGATAGCTACTGAGAGTAATCGATACTATCATCAGCATCTCAATGGACGGGTCGACAGAATACATGCGAAGCGAGTGGCTGATGATGCAGAGTTGACTAGGGAAGCTGTGATGTTGCGGGAGACCAAGAAACACAAGGACATAAAGCCAGAGCACATTGTGCATTGTATCGGGCTCCTTATTGCGAGGATGTTGGTCCCTCACAAGCGCCGTTTTGCGGATCACTGGGGAACGACCCGGGTAGGCGCTGTTCCAAAAGGCACATTTGGCGACTTCGTGGGGAAGTCGCGCTTTGAGCGCACCATGCAAAACCTGCATTTTACCGACAACACAGACCCGAGAGCTGAAACGGACCGCGCCTGGAAACTCCGCTCCGTAGTGGACACGCTACAGCAGACGTTTGCAAGGGGATACAACGTCCCTCCCGTTGTGTCGTTCGACGAGGCCATGATTCCATCAAGAAGTCGTCACAACGTGACCAGGCAATTTGTGAAGGACAAGCCCCACAAATGGGGCACAAAACTGTTTATGACATGCTGTGCTGACACAGCGTATTGTCTACGGTACGTAGTTTGACGGCCTCCATCGTGGAGTATTTTTTTTTGGCTAAGTCTCACATGTCGTATTTGTCTACCTCTGTATTGTTTGGAATTTTGTATTGTGCTGCATCGAAGTCTGGAAGTACTTTGTGGGACTAGCCAGCACTCAGACGAGCTCGGAGAGCAATCGACGACCCGATTTTCAGCAGACCCGAACTCTGGCCCTGCAGCGGTTATCCGTAATCTGCATGAAGTTTTTCCTGCCCCAGAAGAAGGTGTGTACCACGCTGTGGTTACGGATCGATTCTATACGTTGATCCAACTAGCTTTGCAGCTCCTGGCTCGGAATGTATACACGGTTGGCACTATACAGCCAAACAAGAAAGGGTTTCCGCCAGCTCTCGTGACCAAAGCAGCAACTCGTCCAGCTCATATCCCCCGCGGGACCAGCACGATCGCCGTCGCAAAGGGCTGCGATCTTCTACAGGTAATGCTTTGGTGGGACCGCCTTCCTGTCTACCTTCTCTCGACTGGCAGCAGTACATCTATTGAAACCTGCGGTAAGCTACTTTTGGGTCGTGTCTTAGTGACGACGGCTTCCTAACTTATGTGCCGTTGTTGCTGTACCATCGAAGGGCGGCATATACGTGGCGGCAGAAAGAAAATCATACCCTGCCCATCAGCGATGCGCGACTATCATCGCTGGATGGGCGGGGCTGATATCCACGACCAGCTAAGGTTACAGCGCTATTCGCTGCAACTCTCGATGCGCTTTCGAAAGTACTACAAGACGGTCTTCTTAGGCCTAGTCGACATGGCACTCGTGAATGCCTATATCATTTTCAGTGAGGCTCGGAAAATGGTTGGTGAAGGTGCTGATCATGCCGAGTTTCTAGCAGAGTTACAGGCGCAGCTTTTGCAGGTCACTTCGGCTGACTTCATTGATGAGGTATATACTACATGTTTGCCGGCGATCATGTGGTAGATGCTGTATCGTATCTGACTCGTTTATTATCATGCAGACATTTTCTCCAGCACCTTCCGACCAAAATGTGGCCTCGATATCAGCTGCCCACAAATTGACAGAGTTTCCAGAGTGGACCCAGATCCGGGAAGGTGCTCGGAAGAGGCCACAGCACCAGTGCAAGGTCTGCTCGATTCGCAAGCAGAAGGTCGGCCAGCGCAGTGCAACGAGGTTCTATTGCGAGGCATGCAGCGGCGGTAACAAGTAGTAAGTGTGACAGTGGCCTATGCAATCGTACTTTTACTAATTGTACTTCTTCATGCACAGTGTCTACCTCTGTGACCGAGTTCGGCCGGGCCACTACCCAGGAAACACCATGACATGCCACCAAATCTGGCATGTCATGTGGAAGAACGGAGAGGAGCGGCCTCACCCTCGTGTTGGTCGTGGAATCCAGATGCGCAGCCCGGCAAAGAAGCGCCGACGCGCCGCTAGTGATACGGAAGAAGGCAGCGGCGCGGAGGAGGGAGGCGCTGGCAGCGGTACTGTGGAGGGGGGGAAGCGCTGGTTCCGAACGCAGCGGTGCGGAGGAGGGAGGCGCTGGCAGCGGTACTGTGGAGGGGGGCGCTGGTTCCGAAGGCAGCGGTGCGGAGGAGGGAGGCGCTGGCAGCGGTACTGTGGAGGGGGGCGCTGGTTCCGACACTGATGTCGGCGCTGAGAAGAGAAGTGGTGGGGAGGGATGTGCTGGAGAGGACGATAGCGAGTAAGAGTGGGCTTGTCGATGAATACCTAACCTGATTCAATATAAATGTGTTGCAATCATTGATGACTGTACACATAGCCATTGCGCTTCGTACATGGCATGTTCAAGCCCTGTAAAAGGGACACTTCTAATATGTTGG